ATTATTTTTCACAAAAATTTAATTTGCTAAGCGTGTAATAAAATTCAGTTCATCTAAGAACTCAAACCAAAAGCCCGTACCTCTTAATTCATGGAAAAATCTTTTTTTGTGATAAGCTCTACCACCTTTAATTAAGTTCAAATTCTGACAAAATTGTCACATTTGTAGTAAAAGAAATCATTGTGCACTTATTGAACATGGTTACAACCAGAAAAACTACCAGCTTGGTATGATTATTGCCCCGAGGTTTAATGTTTGATGTAATTGGGTAGTACATTTTTAAACGACAATAGTATCGTTGTTACCATAAGTGTAGAATTCTAATGAAAGCTGGTTATTGATTTTTTGTGATTTGATTTAGATTATTTCAACTTGGAAGATAAATGGATGGATTCAACAAGATATAGCAAACTACCACATATCTCAATAACTATAACCTTGATGGTCAATCATAAATGAACATATGAATTTAATGAATATCCATTAGAGTATTTTTGGGGTTATTTTAAATGATTATTTTACTGCATTAAAACGGAAACATTTAATGGCTTTAACACTGAAATACGTTTATCGATGAAATAAGTCAAGATTTATGTGTATAAATGATATAATGGCGATCATATAAGATCATTTATAAGTAAACATGTCATTAATTAATATTTTGAAAATAATAAATAATATTTATATCTTATAACATATCATATTTGTATCAACTTAAAAATGTATATTTGATTGTATTACTAGAACAAACTGATGTTTTTAAGAAGAAATCATGGTAAACCAGAACAAGAGAATCCCCCCACAAAATAATCGAACAGTCAATATAATTACTTGAAGTATTAAAATGAAAAAGTATTCTTCGTCTGTCTTTTCAGGTAGTCATTCGGCATTTGATAGAATAACATATGTCTTCAAAGCTTATTTTTTACGATAAAATCATAACTTCTCCCTTTATACTTATTATTCGTTATAACATACCTGAGATCAATAAAAATATATATGTCAAACAGCATTGCATCAATGTAGTATTGAATCAACAGAAGTATTTCGTAAAAAAGTGAAGTGAGAGTCATAATTAGGATATCTGTTCAGAGCACATAAATTTGGCCGACAGTATCTAATTACCCACGCAGAAGACACAGTGGTCATTGCAAGAAATTAAACACAGGAATCTATCAATTTTTGGGAGATTAAATCAAATGAAATTATATATAACTGTCTATGTTACATATAAAACAAGATGATCTATTTGCTAGCCTGTGTGTAAAATATTAAACACTTAAAGGTAATTATATTATGGACAAATTGTACTAAGGTATTCTCCCTAATAGTAATTTGTATTACTACCCAAATGTACAGCTTTGAGTCTCAAATCACGCAATTTATTTTGATTCCTCAGTTGAAATTCCAAATCATCATTAGATAGTTACCCGTACTTCGCGAGATACAAATCTAACGATTCGAATTGACTACACTATATATGGTTCATTAATGCGCTTTGTTATATGAAATACCAAATCATCATTAGACAAGAGTTTTCTACTTAAGAGTTGTTTGCTAAAACTCATCGGGAGAGTTATGCAGTTACCCGTACTTCGGGAGATACAAATCTAACTATTCGAATTGAAAATAATATATATGGTAAAATAATGCGCTTTGTTATATTTATTAACAACATTTTTAATAATCATTTATTAATGAGTATAATTATAGACTACCGAAATCCAACAATTAAAAAAGACATATCCAAGTTTTGAAAGAAGTATGCTGATCATCAACATACTCATTGAAATCCACAGGTGATGAATCTGATATCACCTGATAACACATCAGGCTACTACAATATATATATAAGTATGGCCTTTGTACACGTCTAGTATTAGTCTATATGAAGTATTACTTATTATCAATTAAACATAAACTTAAAGGATTCAAAAATAGTAATTTTGTAGAAAAAAATTCACAAATTCTTTAAATATTTGATTAGAATAAAAACTACGAATTGCTTTAAAATTACTTAATTCGCATATGCAATGCAATGTTTCTCAACACAAGCGGATCGAAGGCAACTACTTTAAATTTGCAATTAATGTAAATATTTGAAGAATTTCATCAAATAAAAACCATTTGCATATAATTTTGGTTAAAAAAAAACTATTGCAAAAACTGAATGAATTTAATTATTTAAAAAATTTGTGAAAAATAAAAAACTTTTAAGCAAACTACCGTTCTTGCAGGCTGAAATACATATTTAGCGAATACGTTACGTTTACCGCACATTAGTAATTTTTAAATATTTTAGATAATTCAGCATATTTTCAATGCAAACTTTTGCTCATTATTTTTATGTGAAATATTTAAATATTTATTTATTTGCTCATTTCGCACTTCATTTAAAATTAACTAGAAATTAAGATACGAGATACGAGATATGAGATACAAAAATTGAATCACACGCAACTCTACGTCCAATCTTCTGACTCACTACTATTGCCGTCTGCAATTGAATTTTCCAACTGTTGAGCTTAGAACAGAGCCGTTACCGATTACCGAGTCACTGCAGGCTTGGTTATAAAACTGAACCGAAGCTTGTCGCAAATGCATCTCAACAGGTCAGAACTATGGAACGAGTGTTGCCGAAACCATTTTTAAAATATTTTATGCTTTTATGCTTTTTTATAGTTTCATAGATTTTCCTACAAAAACATTAAATTGCAATGGCAATTTTTGCCTGAAATTATTTATTTGATTTGAATGCGAAAATGGCAAATTTATTAAAAGGCAATGTCGGTGACGATCTCGTCGAGAACCGTGTCGCTGCCATCAGCCGTTTTTAGTTAAGTCTCATTTGTTCGATCGCCTGTCAGTTTCGCAGCAATTTTGCGATTTCAGTTCGTTTTTTATGTGTGTTTTGTGTCGGATTTGAAGGTGTTTTTATCTTTTTATTATTGTTGGAATGGATTTTAGTGTTATGAGTTTATTTTCTTGTCTTGAGGTGTCTTGCTAAATTTGTTAAAAATCACTTTTACAAATTTCTTAAAACGTATCTATTATTTTGGTTATAATTAATTTATATGTGCACATTATTTAGAATTTAATTTACTTGTTTTAAAACTTAAAAAAAAAATAATAATGCAAAAGCTGCTAGCTCATTTATCAAATTCATAATGTATTGACAC